TTTTCCGGTCACGTAAATCCAGTGTCATCATAGTAATGAACCACACTACGTTCCGGCTGGATGGACTATGTGATGTGGAAACCTGAATCCAACAGGAACCGAAGGGGTAGGAGAGAGATGAAGGTAGAATTGCATGATCGAAAAATATTATTGGAACTCTTACTAGTTACCGTAGCGGGGTTAGATCCATTCATAATGCTCTGCCTATATACCTCATAAAATCATCTCGTCAACTACTAGGCTTCACATTCACCAAAACAAGGGAAGGTGCTTACCTCTTCACAATGTTTTGTATCAACCATTGCTTTCCAAGCTGGCACCAACCTGAATCGTTTATTAGCCTGAATAAATTAAAAAGTCTCTAGGTGAATTCAATGACCAACAATAGGATGATACTGAGTAAGGATCTCCTATTTAACAACGAGAACAAATCAAAACTTTGACTGCTTTGTTTTGGTCTGTACGGTCAATAAGGAGCTCTATTCCTGGCTGAATGAACCGGGTTTTACAGGATGCTAGAGTGGTGCTAGAGTGGTTCCTGCTAAGTATTTGTGCACACACACACACACCAAGTTACCACGCTGTTTTAACATCTCACTGTACGTTGGCAGGTTTGTCAGTTTCGGATATAAGAATTTAGTTTTAGCTGTAGTCTTCTGGTCGTATTACTCAGAATGCTATTTTCACAGTTTACTGGCTCGAAGAAGGAATTATTGAAATTATCACCAGCTTTTATTTATCCGGTTAAAAGAGCTGTCTTTCTCGGAATTCCTAAGGAATTGGTTGTGACGGAGTTCATTGTTTCAAGCCACGAGACAACAAACCCTTTTAACTCCCTGGTGGCCTTTAGCCCTTATCATCGTAAGGTTAATGTCCGTTTAGGCATGCGAGCCGTCGGTTGCTCAATTATATGACGTGGTTGCCCAACCAAAGTCCCCATTTTTCCTGTGCCGAAACGATGTATCAGCTTTTACCAATCTTCATTGCTTTACTTTCTTACAGGGGTAGACAATCAACCTTTTATTTAATTTAAAACGCTTAGAAAGAGGAACTGTGTTATGTGCAAATGTGCAGCAGTTGACATCAATAATTTGGACGTGAATTGTTGGAAAATATCTCCAAGTATTTGTACGAATTCTATAACAATAATTGTGGTCTGCTTTATTGGGTGACCGTCCTTCAAATCTCTCAATTTTTTGTTGTGGCCAAGAGACATCAACACTGAGATTTTATTGTGGAGTGAACTTTTTCTTTCTGAGAAGACTTTCCTCCCAAACAAGCGTTGTTCTATGCTGTTTTGTGAGGATCTGTGGTCTTTGAAAGGTTTATAGCCCCGTCATTTTTTCTACGAATAAATTATCGTTTTTCGAAACGAAGCTAATAAGTCCCCAAAATGGGTTTTCTCAGTGTTGTTTTAGTCCATGCATTATGGCATTTGAGTTTGTAACCTGATCCTACTTCAAGACTGTGACTAACCTGCCTTCTAACCAACCTCATAGTATATCGTTTCCAGGTGTGTATACTTTCCTCGAAAGTTAAAATCACTGTAGAAAAATTTTTGCGATTAATTTTCAATGAGTATTCACTGAGCGGACAGATGTTGAGAACAGCTGTCAACTCAGTATTCCATATTTTTAGTGTTCATTAGATATTCTGTTCCCAAACCAGGTGCAAATATCACCTGTCCGAATCTATTGCACTTTACATTTTACGCTGAAAAAAGCTAGTTTGCACTTACATTTACAGACCAAACCATCTGAAATGGACTTGAAAAATTGGCGTGCGAATACTCAGTTGGCGGGTGGTATCAGGGAGGCAAGAGTCAGTGAGCGAAGAACTGCAGCTGCTTATATTCTTCCCACCTGCCCAGACTAAACAAGGAAGTTTGCTTGAGGTGCCTAGCTCAGTAGTGTGGCACATAAATCAGCGGGAAGATGCATGGTTCACTTCGTGAGCAACCACGCTAGGCCTTAACCCAGCAGTATGGGGTTTAAAGCGTTTCTTGTGGAGGTGTGCCTAGAGCCAACATCTGAAAAGTTTAATCATGATCAGATGACAATCCTAGGTCACAGGACACGGTGCTGACCGCCGATTTGCTGTGCGCACCAGAGGCGCAGATTTTCGAATCGATCCTTGCCGTGTCATGGGAGCATCTGTGGCCTTATAAACATAGGAACACTGGTCGCCCATAACAAATTAATCTGATCGGAATATGTGCTTTGCATAACAGAGAACTACCTACCTCGGCCTAAGGTTGGCCATTTCAAGACTTGGCGGCGATTTGGTGAAGCTCTAGCCAGTAAATCCATTCGTGGTGATAGTTGTTATATTTCCAGATGAGGACCTCGGTCAGGAGCATTGCGTTGAGCGGCAATGACAGACAGCATTTATGCGTGTAGACTAAAGATGTAATATTTGTTCCACAGCCATCCCAACTTATCAATAGGTGGATTGTGAAGACGAGGTAAATCCACTGATTTTGACTTATTCCTGTCATATCTTTTTTCTCTTTATTGAACAACATACTTTGGTGCACGATTTATAGCCGAAAGACTTACTGAATGCATTCTTGAAGGGTGTATCATCGATTACATAAATTTATTTTGCATCACTTTATCAGTTTATCTTCTCTGGCGTCCCAGGGGACCTGCTGTTTACAATCAACAAATTTAACCATCCTAGTCCGATTACAAAAGTAACCCAACATATGCGCATGATTCACCTTTTACTTTCGCCTTCATTTCCCCACATTTACAGGATGCGAAGGATGGTTCCAAAAATTCTCAAATTGGTGTTTCCCACGCCGGAGTGATAGTGTTCCGGAACAACGCGTCAAGTTTCCAGTTACCTTGGTAGGTTCCTCAAACGGAGGTTGAAATGTGACCAGCTGTGATGGGATGTAATTGAATTAATTCGCACAAACCGTTTCTTGATCGCTCATTCTTTGGATATAATGGTTTTAGGACAAACAATGCGGTAATCCCGGGATATTCTTTTTTGCCTTTTTACAACTTTTCGTAACACTTTACACATGAATATCCACTTAAAGTTTCAAGATGAAATAACTAGTGTTACGGGAGATTACCCGGTACCTCAGTCAAACACTTAGTGTCTTATATCACGAATTTTGACATTTGAATGGAGAAGTAGGGAAACAGAGAGAATGATGAGTTGTGTCAGTTGTGGCATGACAAATTAAGGATATGATTGGTAATGCGAGGAGATTTGAGATTCTTGTGGAGATTTCGTCCTGTAAGTGAAGCCAACCTATGCTAAAAAGCCGAGAAGCACTGTACAACTGTTTCATCCTTATTGGGAATCATCAGCAGTGAGCATCTCACGAAACTCCGAAGAGTCTCGAACCCGCGACCTCCTGGTTAGTAATTTGAGCACTTACCCATTCGGCCACGGGCGGCTGATCAGCAGTGTAATTAACTCTCACTGTACAGTGCTTCTCGGCTTGTCAGCATAGATTGGCTTCACTTATAAGGGCAGCATTTGAATCTGAGATGTTGTTTGAAGATTTTGACAATATGGCGGGGCTTGCTGGTGACTTGTCATCTGACAGATATTTTATGAAGCAATCCAAACAAGACTTCGTAAATCTTTCCTGAGGATCGAGAAGTGGTTTTGGGGCCTGTTCGGAGCTGTTTGGTACACCTTTCGTGAATAACGGAACTGCTCGGAAAATTGACCAAAGTGCAGAGCAAGTATAGCACAGTCTGACAGGAGGCTTGTGAAGAGGCAAAAAGTTGAGTTCTGGACAGGTGGGGTTCACACTAATGCTTTGTGTCCATATGCAGTGCTAGCGAGTCAAACCGCTGCTGTAAACTGGGAAGTAGCGGGTTTGAACCTCACCACAGGCTCGTGAGGTGTACATTGCTGATGAGACCTAGCAACCAAGAAACAGCTTCACATCCGAAGAATGGAATTCCGATTGAAACTATAGAACAGCCGTTATTACTTATATGAAAATAACAAAGCCAAATGATCTTGCCGAATAAATAAAAGTCACCAAGTTTTTTAGTTTTGTATTCATTATGAAGGCTTGTGGGTGCCTAGTTGTGTAAAAAAAACGTTGATTTACACGTGTTTCTCCTAGATCTAGTGTCAGGTTGTGAAGTTTCGAGAAAAATTTCACTCAAATCATTCCATGACACCAGGCGATCGCTTGGTGATGTTGTCGTACCCAATGGCACTTTTTCCAATGGGCGCTTTTGTGTTTAGTGTTTCCACATCGGGAGAGACCTTGGAGGTTTCTGGGTGCAAACAACTTGTAAGAGCCACATCCAGGGACAGCTACTGTCGTTTGGTTTTACCTCTTCGACGAAATGAAACAGTACAGATCATGTGCTAGCTTGCTAGAGGATGTTCTTCAATCCAAAGAAATCTTTCATTCCACGGAGCACCATTTTCGACTTTTTTAAACACCCACATTTCATGTTGTATCGGATCTAATTTGGTAGGTGGCTAGCTGCTGAATAGTCCTTCGGTCGCGATTCACGCCCGAAACAAAGGTTTGTTTCATTATTACTCGTTCTCCGATTGCTTTCATGAGCCCCTTTGCCTTCGCTTTAAGGTCAAACATTTTGAAGATTCGCTTTCGGAATAAGAAGTTTACCGTTCATTTGAAGTCGGCGACGGTAAGCCTGCCAATCCCAGTAATGTCTGATTTATCTCTTTCGTTCGCAAAAGTGTTTTGTTTTACTCGGCGCTTTCTACACATCCGGCTTAGCCCGACAATTGATATTGTGAACATTGTGTGAGAAATGACAGGGCAGGTTTTTACTGGTCATTTATTTTCTCCTGTACCAGTCTCAAAGGGATCGTTTTTATGTATGTATTTAGCTCACCAGAGCTGCTTCATGGCATCATCGGTGCGATATTCAAAATAGAAGATAATTTGCCCTGGTAATTCACAGGCCTCCGTTTGCAGGAACGCCGCAGTTACGCCCACAATTCGATTCCCATGAGAGGGAAACGGGGACATAGCTGCCGGATAAAATCTCAATATCGTTCTTTCTTTGGGCAGTAACCCTTCATCTTTCTGGTAAACCTACTTAGTAGATTATCAGTATATTTTTATCGGTTTCTGCGTCCAAATACGGATGTATCTCGCACAGTTACTGGGCAACACCGGCCCCGTCAAAAACCTCCTTACGTCCCATCTTCTAAAAGTTGATCGTAGTACATACTATCTGCAATAAAAACCCTGCCATATTTCCATAAACCGGTTGATAAAATCTTCACTATGCGACGTGATACACTGAGAAGGGATGTGGATAAACACGAGTGTATTTCACATCCGGACGCATATATTTTAAAGGTGTTTCTAGTAAGAGAACCTATATAAATTTACAGGCAGTTCTTCTAGCAGAGTACTGGATCTTGTTGAGCTACTAACAACGACCGTGGCCACGTTTGCATGACCAAGCCACCAGAGTACACTGCACGGCCTCTTACTCTGTAACTAAAAAAACAGACAATAATATCTGCTAACAACTACATCAATTCACTCACTAAGTAGCCTGCTCATGTGCGCCTTTTGCAACCATTCGAAGGACAAGCAAACACTGTTTCACCGAAAGTTAACCATATAATTAGAGAATGCGTAGAAGGGCATCGTTTTCACGAGGTAATCCGTCATTTGTAACTGAATGACACGTTCAAACTCATTCCGAGAGCTGTGGATTCAAATATTCACTGATATTTGCCTCAAGTGCTTTGTCGATGATTCCGAACAAGTAAATAACAAACAGGCAGTTCTCAACCTTTCTCATGAATAGCTATCATGCGCAGAATGGGATCAGAGTTTCTAATTACTTTTCTCTTTCTGAATGTATCTTATCAGGGGAAGGCTGGCTGTAAAGACCTGAATTGGTGTTGTCACAGGTACAGCACCGGTTTAAAAACTCAAAATCGTCTCCCATTTATCAAGTAGTTATTAGAGTCAACCCATTGGGCAAGATGCGGGTGTCATTAACTGTCAAACTTTCTACCGCTCTTTGCACCTAGATTTGCACTGTGCATTCGATGAGATCAGATGCATTACCAAACGTCGGTTTAGCGGCTCACTTCCTTTTCACAGCATAGCCCAAACAAACAAACAAAATACTGCAGTTTCGGTTGTTTGCTCGTCCACTTTGTTATCACCAAGAAAATTCAAGTAGATCATAAGGTTGACGGAAACTCGGGGACTGCGCCTACCCGATGAGCCACAAGAAGGGCGAAACCGGTTGTGGGATGTCGAAGAGTTTTCAGCAACCTTGTGAGTAGTTTCCTTTATGAAAAAGTGTCCAAACATTTAAATCGGCTGGTAGGTTACAATATTCTAACTTCAGTTCGCTCCTATCAGTGGTTGGTCTTCGATTACTACTTCCTTACCCCTCACCGATTTCCTGTGCGAATGAATTAAACATATCAAATGCATCAGTCAGCTGCACAAGTGAAATTCCAACAATGAATGTGGATTTTTTTTCTTGTAAAGGAAAGACAGTTGACTATTGGAATTCGAGAAATATCTAGCTGTATCATCCCTGTTTCGAATTACCGCAGTAAGAACCCTTAAAAAATTGAGAAAAGCAACCTTGTGGATAGGCAGGATTCAGCGTCTCGTCATTGGTGCAGCCAAAATGCATCTTGATAAACCATAAAACCACTTGTTCCCCAGTTTATTAGATCACATCCCGTTAAGTGGTGGTACTCAAATCCTTATCCTCAGGAAAGCTCGATTTCAAGCTACTCGTTGTCGGTATCACGATTTTCACTCTTCGGTTTTGTATTTTACTTGGTTGTGTGTAGCGTTGAGGTCTAGTACTGAAATTCATGAATCCACTACATTTCTCACTTTTTTAGCCTAGTTACCTGCCATGTTGAAATGAATTGCCTTCATCCTCATTCTATCTTGCCTTAGGTTAACCTCCTGTCGGCGAATGGGAATAGTTCCACGGGAACACGAACACCTTCATACTCCACCCTGGTTGCAAGTCCCACTGATTCCAGCAAGACAGGTCTACAACAAACCTTTCAGTTCCCATCACCCGCTGAAGCCAAAGAATTTTGGCAATATGCCGTTGCTTGCCACGCGTTTTTTCGCGTCCGTGAACCGGCAGAAGTTTCATTCAATCGAGCTCCGGCATATGGAGCCGGTGCAACAACGGCTATTTCAGCTACGGCTATCTATTCCGCCATTTCCCGTGCAACGAGCGGTCTTCGTCGGTTTTTTTCTATCGCCCGCCGTGGCAGCATATACAGAACTAATCTTGGTGGTGCAGCTGGGGGTGTCGAGCGGACTCTGTCTACGGTGATGGAACTAAGGCGTAATTCTCGTGTTTTTGACCGAGGATTCTCCAGGTACATATTAACGATGACAGTGAAGTCAGTGAATGGACACTCCATCCGTTTCATCTGATTGCCGTAAATACTCACATGCTATTTAGCTGTTCATAATAGTATTATCATTGTTATGCTTATTGGTGATGTGTTAGATTAACGTCAGTCAATTTTCTGATCCTGATACACTTATAGTTTATCAGTTTGGATACCGGCACCAACAAGTATCTCTGATGACTCACAGACAAACATACGTAGAGAGCATCCGCTTACAAATGTGTCGCAGCACGTAGGTCAAATTAGATTCAATCGAGATTTCGCAGACAATTACATTCATCAGGATGTGTGGATATTTGTAAGGCTGCAAACTCAAAGGCCTGAAAGCGGAAGAAAACGTGGCTCATTATTATCTGTGGATTAAGTCATTCGTCCTCATACTGGTGTAACGCTGGATACTACTGATGGGAGAATGCGAGTAGTATGTTCCCTCGTAAATCCGCTTTGCGTCTCTTGAAAAGTGAGATCTATTACGGAATTTGTAGAGTCGCTTTGTATCCTTTGCTTGCATTTGAGTAGCAGTCAGTGAATATCCAGGAAAGTTCAGGAAGGCGCGTTCAAGGAGCAGATGAATGTTCAGTTTCGTGAACAAGATGCATATGAGAATTCTGCTTCCCTGTCCAATAGTCTGTAACGGTTCACTTGATGATTCTCTAGTAAACAACTCTGGAGCGAAAGCCTTTTTCCTTTCACTAGTAGTAAAGAGGATCGTTTTTAAGAATATATCGGTTCATTATTAGCATTCTTCCTCCTTATCCAACAGCCCCCATTAGATGGTGAATGCTGCACAGAAAGCAAATAGTTAGGACGGTTTCAACCAATGATGAGGGGTTAGCGTTTCAGACTTGGGTTCCATCAGGCAGTTTAGGTCACTGTGTGCTGAAAAAATGAAGGGCAACTTGGAGCTGATCAGTTCCTGCTGGATCTCGTCAACACTGTACGGTCGACAAAGCGCTACACAAGTTCGAGCCCGCAGCCTTCGGGATGCAGTTCAGCTACAAATGTTACTAGTTGCATGTTAAAATCGAATGGTTTCGTTAGAGTCCTACTTTTTCGAAACGTGTTTATATGATTAACACGAGGGTCGTTCATCGGCAACGATCTGGTCAATCTGACCATTATTCGGGCTCATCATGTTCATGCCCTTCTGTTTCATCTTTGCTGAAGTGCAGCGGTAATGAATTTTCAAAATGTTCACTTTAGAGAAATCGATATTATCGTCATACTTTGTGAGGAACACTTATGTACAGTTGAATATTTGTTATCCAATTATTATAGACATTTGGGGTTTTCCTATTGTACTTTCTGTAAAAATAAGGCACCTTTTAGAGGGGACGTTTTGGCGCTCTCTGAAGGTGTTTCCTTTTGGCAAGTCGCTGAATCTCCAGGACCGTCTTGGTATGTAAGCACCGTACACACCCACCGAAGGCCAAATAATATGTTTGCGTTCCACTTAATTCGTTTTTCTATTATTAAAGTGATTTAAAACTGTCGTACACTGTCCGCACGTCTACATCTTCCTAGGGCAAGCAGTCGACGCAGTACACGGAGGTCCATGAACTTCAGTGGCAGTGGTCCGTCGGTTTCTCAGACCGGTGGAATTCGAACTGCATCAAACCTATCGCTTGATCGTCCTTCTGACGCACATACGCCAAATATTTCTACGAAAACTTACAATCAGTTACCGCCCGGAGCTCGCACCAGTCTGGTCTTTAGCACGTCTTCTAAGACTCTGGATGTGCAGCCCGTACGTGGCGTTCAAGCCTCTGCCCCTCGGAATCCTCCTGAGTCTGTACCAACAATTTCGATTCCCCGGACACTCACTTCAGCACCTGCGCCGACCAGCCGTCCTAAAAAGGCGCCCAGTCCATCGGCAGTGGAAGCCACTCAGCTGAAGGCCACTCTGCCTGAGGTCAGGTTTCTTATCTGGTCTTATATAACCACTCACCATTTTTATCTGCTGAAACCTGAGGACCTCTTCTTATGCAACATCACTCGCTCGACTGTCTTCGAGATTATGCACTTATAGCTAGCCTACTGAGTGTTTTAAGTTTTAAGTCTTTTCAACCTGTAAGGCTGAACACGCACAATGGGGTGCTGTGCCATAATTTCTTGCACGGTGATGAGATGATGAAACTGCATCAGTCGGTACAATGACCAAATGGACGTGAATTGCTCACCTTCGGAAAGATACTAATTGGTTTGACTTAAGTGATTTCACACAAAAATAAGACCTGAAGATGTATATCATATCTTCTTACCCTGTTCCAAAGTTGGATCGCAGTAGGTAGGGCCTTAAATGCGACAGTCTGCTGGACTTCTAATTTCAGATTCTTCTACTTGCAAACAAATTTCTACTCAAACTCCCTGCCAGAGCAATCCATTCAGTAGATTTAATCCAGCAATTTGTTGTCTGTGTCATTATTAGGACTTTAATTTCACTATTCCTCTGGGTGTTTAATATTCGATTACTCGTGCATCTATGGCCAGTAGGACACGAACACATCGACTGATGTTCCAAACAGATGAATGGGTAATGCTGAACGCTTGAGTCCCTTGCAGTGTGTGTGAGTCGACTGGGCAGAACACAACTTTACATCATGAAGCGTCCTTAAGGTGGGAGTTTGGTCTTAATTGGGACACTCTCTACAACAGACTAGTTGCCTTTTAATTGTTCTGTCCAGGGGGTTGGTAGTTATGAGAGTTTTTCTGAAGAGCGTTCATTCTTACACATACCCGTATTCAAGTGGACATGAGGAATCCTATGAAAAAAGCGAGCCGGAATTCAGAGATACCATATTTCCAAGTGGTTTGGTTGACATCACATTTGTAAATGGTGTTATGGTATATTTAACTAACCCTGACTTGTTAGTGGGGAATCCCCGTCAACCAGTGTCTTTTATTTCCAGCAAACTACGGTTCTTTGTTTTCATTTTAATAGTGCGAAGTCAACCTATTAGTGGTCCTCAGTCACATCGTACTTGACAGTGGTAATATAATTTTGGGTGTGCTCTCTACGGTTCTTTTTAGACTTCAACTCATGTGCCCGGCTCGCGAAATTCCTACATCAGTGCCACTTCTATCACACAAGCCGAACGAATGCCACGACCGAAACCCACTAAAACCAGTAGTCCATCACTGAATGCTCCGCGGTCTAGTCAACGTCGATCACACCCCTCTTCGCCCTCGCTACAACCTCGCGCCGGCACAGTAAGTGTGTTGAACTTGAATTACTGTTGCACTGCGTTTGTCTTCAGTGAATGCGTCAACAAACAAGACCGTATAAAGAATCGGAACCGTCATCGCCACATTGACTGTTTTCCCGCAGACTGTTTTACTCACACGCATAGAGAGGAACCCGAAAAATTACATTAGATCACGAAAGCTAAATGCCCTTCTTCACTTTCTCCTTTAGCTAAATGAAGAAGTCTTTCTTTTAGACAGGAAGCTGGTTTTGTAAACAGTTTGGGGATTATCGTACCATAGTCAAGTTTCACTCCAAGACAAGTGGGGAAAAGAATAGTTCTGGGCACTCAGGCATGGTTCCAGAAGAATATATGCGACGAAATGATACTGGAGAAGAGCTGTCGCTGAACAAGGGTGGAATTGAAGCGGTGCCGAAAGAGTTTCTCAGAAGTAGAGAACACGTTTACACATATCTCCTACTCGTCAGGTGGTACGTAATTGAGTGAAACGAGTCATCGATCAGTAGTCTATTGGTAGCACCCAGTATCCATCTTTTTGACATCAGATTTGCTCCGTTTTCCACGTTAGCCAAACAAATAGGGTGAAACATCTATGCAGTTATTCCTCGTTTCCTAGTTCACATAAATGCAGCATCAGACCACACGGTTCCCTGGTGGGAGACCACCCAACTTCGTACTATGGACCATGTGTTCAGGAATTAATTCACTACCGATTACCAGCCCAAAGTGTCAGCACTAAGTATCGGACATAACGATCATGTATCCCACAACTTGAAACTCATTCGTTGAAATTTTTACCGTATTTTTTCATAGCTGATTTTTTTATTGCCAGGCGAAGTTAAACAGTTGTTTGTCTGGGGCTTCATGCAACAATCATGTTACGAGACATGTTTGTGTGGAAGGCACAATCTGCTGCTCAGCTAAGGTGCTTTTCAGTGGCAAGCTGTCTTTATCTATTTCCAGAACCCTCCAAACTCACCCAAGAATATGCCGGATTCCAAGTCAAGAGAGAAACGTGGCGCAGATGGTATTCAGGATAACGTCCATGTGAGCTCATCCGATGGGTCTGATCCCGACCAACCTGACTTCGACCGAGACGATGCCTCTCGTTACTGGAACGCCCGACGGGCTAATACAGCATTCCGGGTCGGTCGCGCGCAAACTAGAACACGACCTACCCCATCGTCCATAATGCACGAATCATTTCACGGCCGAACGAGTCAAGAGGAATCCAGACCACGACCATCGAACGCATGGTCTGGTAAGCGTCAAATAACTTCTGCAGAACCGGAAACTCACGAAATTTTAGAAACGGTGACAAGAGCTTCAAGTTCAACCCGAACGAGTGGTCGGTTGAATTCATTGCACACGCAACACTCGGGATCCCAGCGAAGTAAGCAATTGGCTGACTGGCCAACTGAAAACGATGTGAATGTGCCGTCAGTTCTATTTTTCACTTCGCCAATACCAAGTTTCATGCTATCCGTGGACAATTAAGAAGTTATCGCAACGTCAAGTCTTCAGAAATAGCCGAATCGATCAGTCTTTTCAGCAGTCTCTGTAAAGTTGCGTTATATAACACGCTCTGGTGGTTAAGTCCTCATAAATTTACCCGAGACCAACGTGCTCGCGATTCCGCAGTCCATGTATTATGGATGTCTTAAGATCCTTAGCTTTTAGAAATGCATTAATAAAAGTGAATATACAGCTTTCCATTCTTCCGCTGATCGTACTGCGCACTGACTACTTGACCCTCGAAATATTCCTACGTCTGGGTCTTTAATTCATCAGAATGCCCCAGTTCACATTTAGGTATGGCTCACATTGAAAATTTACTGAGTATAATCACGTTGGCTCCAGATTTCTATCACTATATTTTAGCCAACTGGCCTTCCTTGTCACAACTAATCCAATGAATTTCATCACTCGGTCTTCGGAAAGCCTTTTGCCCTTTGGAAAAGTGGCGTCTATACAATCCTGCCTGTCTTAGTGAAAATGTCCTCCTGAATTTTTTTTACAGCTGGAACTCCCCTTAAAAGTAATGGCAAGGGACTATTTCTCTCCCGATACAGTACAAACAGCTGTAGCTTGACTGTGCTGTAGCTTAATACGAAAAGCCCTGGACTTTTATGGGAGGAGGGGAGCGGGGAATATGTATCACTGATAGTGCTAAATTTTAGCACAAACGTTCCCAACCCTCAGCAATTCAGCGTAACTGTTCGCTTGTTTTTTTCCAAAATCACCGATTCCATTGCATTTGTTACTCGGAACACCACTAATTTAGCGTCGCCTGTTCTGTAAAACATTGGAAAGTATGATCAATCGAGTGGCCAGTTAGCATCCTTTGAGTGTACATCAGCGGTAATGTGTTTGAAAGTGACCGCAGACCTACCTGCGATAACCCTGTAGGATGATTCATACGGGTGGACGACAGTCATGGTTTCTTATTTTCTGAGGAAGCTATCTTAGGGCCTATTACTGGGCATAGTTGGAGCAGAAATGTCATGCTGTTTCAAGAAACAAGCAACTCAGTGATTCTCCCACAAAGAAACAAAATATTTGAGGTAAGAGAAATAGGCGACAAAAGAATGAAGCTTCGAGGGAATTCCGGAAGATTCTTTTAAGTTGTATAACTATGGCCTACACCGAACACATAGGTTCCTCAGATGAAAATGAAATGAAACCATCCAGCTCTAGTACCCTTTCGATGCCTAGCTGCCATGCCACCAGACAGAAAGAAGAGGGCTGAGATATGGCCAGGTTACTCAAGCCTAAACAGGGAAGTCGATGGCCAAAGGACGTATTCAAACCATGGGCATTCCAGTCAGTAAAAGCACGCTCAAACCACTCATCGTCATCATCATCATCATCCTTAGTGCTACTTAACACAATCATTCCGAGGTGCCTACACCTCCAGACATTCACTCAGGCAATCTGGATAGAAACTGACAACAAAAACGCCACCGACATCGGTTGGCAGCCATATCTTGTAATGTCTCCAACCAGGCACAGTGATGATCACGCGGTCCCCATTCCTGGAAGGCGAGTAGTACCGACAGCACCCAAGCGTTTCGTGATCTCCTTCATACTACTCCGCCAAGTCAAGGGTTGGCCACCTCTCTGCTTACTCCACTCTGAGTTGGGCATGGAAAACAGCACTCTCTTCGCCAAACGATAGTTAGGCATACGTAACACATGTCCCAACCAACGCAGCTTCTGGTGCTGGACACATTCTTCGA